AGATATATGAATAAATAAACATAAATACATATAAATACATATATAAATAAATATACAAATAAATATACAACACATATATAAATAAATATATAAATAAATATATAAATAATTATAGTATATATAAAATAATAATACAGTATATATATATATAAATATACAAATAAGTGTATAAAATTAAATATATAAATAAATATATAATAAATATATACATATATATATATATATATAAATAATTGCATATATAAATATACAAATAAATATAAAAATATGTAAATAAATACAGTATATATATATAAAATAATATATATATAATTATATAAATATATAGTATATATATATATATATATATATATATATATATCTGTATGTATGTATCTGTATATCTGTATTTTAACAATGTCTATCAGCGCTGCATACTTTCGGATCGACGATTCGAAAAAGTAACCAAGTCCAAAAGTATATGTACTGCGCATGACTGGACTACACAGGCAAGCCTGGATTATCTGAACATAACCTAAATCGCTTTCCATTTGAAGATCATGCTGTTCAAACGATAAAACTGTACAATGAATTCATTATTATTAATCTAATTTTTATTTATGTTTTTTTCAAGTATTATACAGTGTATAATAGCATTATTATTCGGAAGTTAAAATAACAGTGGTACTGTACTAGCCAAGCAGATTTCGGCTGATTTGGACTGTACTGTAGACATCAAAATATTAAAAATATGATTAGCAGAAGATAAACATTAACATTTACCAGTTTTGTAACGAGATTTTGCAAGACCCCCCGCAACGATTAAAGCCCGGTTTAGAAAAGTTAAAATGGTTGAAAAAGCTAAGACCATGTATTATTCTGCCCTTGTTAGGGACTGCTCTGGTGATCAGAAAAAGCTCTTTAACATTGTTAACAACCTACTACACCGCTCAAAGTCAACGGTTCTTCCTTCTTCTGTCTCTAATCGAGCTCTGGCACATAGGTTATCTGTGTTTTTCGAGAACAAAATCCTAAATATTCGTAGTTCTTTTGCTCAAAATTATTTTCATGATGCTACTGCTGATTCTAATATGATTGGATCTGAGGAAACATCTAGGTTTATACAGCTCTCTGAATTTGATCCTGCAAGTGAGGCGGAAATTAATGATATTGTTAGAAGCTCGCCTTTGAAATCTTGTCAACTTGACCCGATACCTACTTCATTGATAAAGTCATGATGCCTTTATTCCAATCATTACTAATAATAATTGTAAATAAATCTCTTGTGAGTGGGTTGTTTTCCTGATGCGTTGAAAGTTGCGCATGTTTTTCCTACTATGAAAAACCCCAGCCTAGATCCTGAGGTTCTCAAAAATTACAGACCTGTTTCAAGCTTTCTTGGTAAGATAATTGAAAAGGTTGTGTCTAAACGATTATTGGCCCATGGTAAAGAACATACTTGATTCGTTCCAATTTGCATATAAAGCACATCATAGCACTGAAACAGCCTTACTTAGAGTAAGCAACGACATCCTACGTGCAATGGATGATGGTAAACTTACTGCTTTAGTGCTATTAGATTTAAGTGCAGCTTTTGACACTGTTGACCATAATGTTTTGCTTTGTAGATTAAGTAAGCACATTGGAGTCGAAGGTCGTGCACTCGAATGGTGTTGATCTTATCTTACAAACAGACGTCAACATGTATGTATTGGGAACGCTTTCTCCCAGGAAAGTTCCTTCAATTTTTCTGTTCCTCAAGGATCTGTTCTTGGGCCACAATGGTTCACAATTTATATCCTACCTATTCGGGATATAATTTGCAAATATAATTTCTCCTATCATGTTTATGCTGACGATACTCAGATTTACCTTTCGTTTAAACCGTTCATGACGCAACTTGATATCCCTTTAGAATCATTTGAAAATTGCCTTTCTGAGTTGCGTGTTTGGATGAAGCAAAATCTTCTAAAATTGAATCATGACAAAACTGAATACATACTTCTTGGGTCACGCCAACAGTTGGAAAAACTTCCGCTGAGTAAAATTTAGTTATTGGGGAAACCCTAATTGGCTCTGCTGTGCAGGTCAGAAATCTTGGTGTTACTATGGATGCTAATATTGGAGACATAGACGTATTTCAAATATCACTTCAACATCTTCATTTTATTTACGTAACATTAGAAGCATTAGGAAATGCATAGACAATGCAGCTGCTGAATAACTTTATCACTCATTTGTTACTTCACGCCTTGACATGAGTAACCCGCTCTTGTATGGACTTTCACATAAACAAATCCAACGGCTTCAACTTGTTCAAAATGCTGCTGCACGTGTAGTTACCAAGTCATCCCAGTACTCACATATAACAAATACTCTAAAATCATTACATTGGCTTCCGGTACAACACCGCATTGTTTTTAAAATATTATTAATTGTTTTTAAATGTATAAATGGTTTGGCTCCTGACTATGTTGCTGATATTATATTCCTGGGCGTAACTTGTGCTCTTGTGACAAACTATTTCTACATCAACCAAAGTCATATCACTCTTACGGGGATCGAGCTTTTAGTATTGCTGCTCCACGTCTTTGGAACGCTTTGCCGTCAAACACATTAGATCTTTAAATTTGTTTAAAAAACTTTAAAATTGCATCTCTTCACCTTAATGTTTCTCTGGTGAATTTATATTATTAAAAAAAATATAATAAAAAAACATGATACCACTTTTCTCTGTCGACGCAATGTTGCTCCTCTTGCAGTGCACGGTAGTTGAGCCCTAGGCTTATCTTGGGGTGGAAGGTGCTGATGCTCAACATACTGCCTTTGAGTATCTGCGCATACTTATATGGGGAGCAACACTGCCTCGATGGGATAATTGTTATACGAATTCTGCTCGAAATTTTTCTGGGAATTAATTTGGATTTTCACCGAGGGGTATACAGAACCTTGATGTTTCTCCGTTGAATTAAAATAAATAAATAAATAAATAAAAAAACATGATACCACTTTTCTCTGTCGACGCAATGTTGCCCCTTTTGCAGTGCACGGTAGTGGAGCCCTTGGCTTATCCTGGGGTGCAAGTTGCTGATGCTCAACTATCTGCACATACTTATATGGGGAGCAACACTGCCTCGATGGGATAATTGGTATTTGTAATTTGCATGAAATTATTCTGGGGATTTTATGGATTTTGGGGTTAAATTGACACTGCGCCTTGAGCGCCATTGGTGGAGATGTGCGCTTTATAAATCTTTATTATTATTATTATTATTATT